GAAATGAAATTATGCCATCAATCAATTTTAGGGTGTCTCTTGCCTGAAATACATGAACTCTAAAATTTAATTGATCCAATAATAATTACTGACAAACTCGGAATATATTTTTTTGAATTGAAATAAAAATTTGCACACCTTTAGGTTTGCTTTGGTGGATGCCCTTGACACAATCGATGGGTCGTGTCATGTGGCACACCTAAATAGGGTGTTGAGGAATATGAAGACAAAATGGAGGAAGCTAAAGCAATCACAGAAGATGTGACCACAAAAATGTACAAATGTCAAAGATATATTATAAGGTACAGAGAGAAGCAAAGCTATTTTCTGTTTGTTAATTGTTCATTTTGCACTATGGAAATTTGTATCAAAAATATTTCATATCGCATCAACATTACGGGATCTTTCAGATGATGATGATGATGACAACAACAACGATAATGGTAATTAGCCGTTTAAAAATCCTTAGCCGCAAAGCCGTTTACTACCTAAATTGGTAACTTTATTTCTATAACCAGAAGGTAACGCGGAAATCTATTGCCAAATTTAGAGATTATGTATGCAGATTATTAGCCACTAATGGTAATGATGATGATAATGATAATAATTATCGAGAAGATATGCAAGCTTTCAAATACTGCTAATGACCACACAAATACTACCACCGCTCCTTTAGACGGTAGTAATAATAACAACAACAATGATCAAGGTGAATTGGCTGGTGCAAATACCGGATGTAAATGCTGATTTTTTAACAAAAATTTTTTTGTGAAAACTAGATGTATATTTGGAAAAATAATTAAATGGTATTTTATTATTATTTTTACATATAATTTTGAAATAAAAAGCTGGTGATCCAATTAAGGAAATTAGACAGCATTGAAAAACAACAAATCTTCTGGGAAAATTTCCCTTTTCTAGATTGGTTAATTATTATTATTAAAAATCTTTTAATAATAATTGAATATATCTAAAGTTAATTTATTGTTATGCACATATATATAGGCTCAAGAGATTGCTGCAAACATACTACCGGATTCTCATGTGGAGTTTAAATTGGAATTGAAGCACTTCAAGAAGGTAACTGATTATTTTTTAATTGAATTCTTATATGAGTTTGCGAAAATATATATAATAATTTATATTGTAATTTTTTTTAATTAGTTGCTGAAGCATATCTGGTTCATTTTTTTGAGGATGCGTATGTTGATTTAATAATTTTCAATATGTAAAAAAATAATGATTTTATTAATAATATTATTATTAATGAAAACTTCTTCCTCATTATTAATCAAAAATTTATGCACCATCCATTCCAAATGAGCTACTTTGATAAAGGAGGATATTGAACTGGTTTGCAAGATCTGGGTTAAAGACTAAATGTGAACCTTAATTTTGGTATATTAAGTGTTAAGTTCGGTTAAATGATAATATTTTTAATATTTTTATATATATTTGTAAAATTTTATTGTATATATATATTTCTCATATATATAGTATGCTATACTAACTATGCTATCCACTCAATTAATTTTAAAATTAGTAATATTAAGTGACAATTTGATTGGTTTAAATAATTTTGAAAATCAATTCCAAATTATTTTAGTGATGGTGTCTTTCCACTTTTTAAAAAAAGTCTTGGTTGATTTCTTCAATAGAGAAATATAATTGTTTTTTTTTTCTAGTTTTTAATAATGAAGTCATTCAAAACTACGATTTTGCACTTCCATTCATTGTCTAATTAACTAATTAGAATTAGCCATTAATCAACGATCAATTTTTTCAAAAATGATCATAATGATTTTGATTGGTTCTCCTGTTATATTAACATGCCCATATATTGATTTATTTATATTGCTTATTTCCTTTTTTTACAATAAAAAAGTTCAAACAAACATATTACATCAAAAGAAAATCATTACCAACTTTGGTTATATAATTCAAAAATATTGTAACACAAAAATTATTTATTGCAGTGAGTGGTTTTTCCAACATGTGGATCACATTATATTAACTTTTGAGTATAGATGATCCGCACTGTACTCATTTTTATCACAACAGTGCGTAAATCTAATTTTTTTATACCTTTTTTCACCCCCGTTAAAAATTTAAAAATTTTTTTTTGCATTCATA